GTTTCTATGTTCCTGAGAAACAGTCCACCATTCACCAACAAGTCATAACAAGAAGTCACAATAACATTTTTTCCATCACAAAGCTTCTAATGTCTGCATTTTGATACAGTGCATCTCTCTGTTCTTCCTGTTCTCTCAGCCTGTGTCACTCCTCAAAAACTTCAGAAGATCAGGTTTAAGAATTCATCCCCTCTGTCTCATACATGCTCTCCTTTACATTAAATCTGTTTTCATTATAATATTTTAAAGGTGTGCATAAACAAGTGCTTCACATCAGCTCCACCAAGACATACTTTCTCAATCACATCCACAGGTCAAACCACCAGCTTCCGGCTTTGCCTTCTTCTGTGGTAATTTCTAAACTGCAAAAGAAGTACTTTCCCTCTTATTTGGCCTTGCATTTTCAGGCTATCCAGAAAGAAAATACAAAGACAGGGAACTAAACTACTCTCAGTAACTCAAAGTATTTCTAATTACAGAGGTATACATATTTATTATTTGTTTAGTACGTGAATGTGAAGAATTGTCATTTCTTAGAATATGTGTTTATATTGAGATATATTTTCTGTTCTAAGTGCATATATAATGCCTTCTTGTGGCAAATTTAAAGATTTCTTCCAATGTATTATTTCTAACATAATTTACATTATGAATTTATATTCAGAAAGAAATACTTACCTTGGAAAGAAAAAGTAAAGAGAAAGCAAAATATGCTATGCATTATATTAGGTCAAAATCAGCCACGCTTTTTGTTTTCATTTGTACTTCTTTCTCTGTGACATTTGAGTCACCAAAGCATTTTTTTGGATAATTAGGATAAGAAACTCAGTATATTCTGATGAGTGATCTTTGCAATTCAAAGTTAAAATATATATAAATATCATGCATATATTATGCATATATATTAACTAATGTTGACATGGTCTTCAATGATTTCTGGAAGTGTTTGTAATACAAGGAAACTCCAAGGAATAAACAGACAACATTGTGGTGAAACATTACTGAAAAAGTTTATCTCCAATTTTCCAATTCTTTGGAAGTACATTAAGATAAATTTCTATCTAGTATTCTAAATGTTAACAACAGCAAATAGAAAAGCTCTTAAGAAACATTTGTATCTATCCTACGTTTTTCTTTTGTTGTTGTTTTTTTTTCTTCTTCTTCCTGATTAAATTTGAATGATTTACAGTGATTAAACATATAAAGTTATAATTTTGGAGAAGGTACTGTGTTCTGCCTGCCATCCAAACTACAGACTTTTTTTTTTTTTTTTTGTCTTCTTGACTTAAAACAAACTACCGCTAATAGATTTAAATAAAGATTCAATTAACAGATGTTCTGGAAAGAGGCAGACAGAAAAAAGATAAATATTTAATGGAATGTTTAATGGAATGTTTATATTCTGAGAGAAAAAAAAATTAAATGTAGACTCACTTTAAATTGTGATTCTTTTAATAAGAAGCCAAGAGCAAAATTAAAGTAATAGAAATGTCAGTACGCTAGAAAATTCTTAGACTTAATTCACAATGCTGTATTATATGATGCTGTATCTCTTCTGCATTAGGAGTTCCATAAAGCCTGTGGTAACTTTGAGTGGACAATTAATAAAACAATAGGCAGAAATCACATCTTAATTTATTATGACCAATAAATTGGTAGATAATATGCTATGACCTATCATTCTTCTCAGCCCTTCTTTTTTAAAGAATAAAATTTGATTTTAAATGATGACTTAATGTTATTTCAAATTAGCCCATATCTTGATTGGCCTCGGGCCTATAAAAGTATGAAGAATCAGCACTCTTTCAGACTCCTCTGAACATCCTCTGACATCATAGGTTTTCACTATCCAAGCCAAGAGTTTGTTAGTGTGTTTTAGGCCACATATTCTAATGAATATAATGGGCTGGTTTTCAAGAAAGGATTTGATGACTGAGATATGATTACTTACCATACTAAAATAGCATTGTTGAAGAGACTTTCAAAACATCTATTGCACTGAAAGTGGGGGGGGGGGGGGAAGAGGGGGAAAGCAGAAGCTCCTGTCCCTGTGAACTACAAGCATCTGGAAATGAATACCTGTGACAAAGGGAGAAAAGGGTTCACATGACCAAGTATACAGCACCGGACATGAAAAAGACAAGAGCTTCCATTCTGTCCTTTTTAGGATCTTAGAAGTATGCAGAGGTATCTATATAATGAAGCAAAATGATCAGTAGAGGTAAAACATCAATGCAATGTCAACTGCACCATGCTGATTCCAGGACAAACTTTGATTCACAGCAAACAATATGACATTCTTTTAAGAAACAGAAAAGAACACTTTGCTGGAAGCAGGAATGCTTCCAGCTATGATCAAGAATCAGAACTTGAACTCCATGGTATCTTGATCTTTTCCACCTCTTCCCCTACGGAGAGCTCTGGATTTGCATGAAAATTACCACTACTTACTTAAGAAAAATTGAGAACAGAGATCTACTTAAAGATCCTGACTTTAGTAACAGCTAGGCTATTATGTAAAAGAAGCTTGATGAGTAAAGAAAGAAACGTCCCTAGGGACTCTGTGTCTTCTGATCCATACACACAGATCCTCAATCTTCTCCAGGGAAGAATGTGCATTATTCAGGTTGTTGCAGACTATGCTCTGTATAGTATGCACAGATTAAGTTATGTCCTTTTTTAGTAACTTTGCTTTTCTTTCATCTTGAGATAAGTTATTTAACTTCTCTTCTGCATGAAAAAAACTTCTGTAGGAAAGTAGCAGGGACAGTTTTCAAAAGAACGTGTTCAGAGGACAAGGCATTTGCAGAGAGCTCCTTCTACCCTGCACACTCTTAAAGTAACAGCTTCCATATCCAAACAACATGCAGTGAGCAACTAGCTAAGAAATATCATCGGTACCTCTTAGCCTGTACTTACTGAGAACTAAATAAATTAAAGACTGCAATGTGTACAGTCATTACTTTTCAATTCATGGTGGGAAATAGGATTGGATTGGTATATTACCTGAGACCCAAAAGGAGATGGGTAGCTTTCTGTAATAAGGCTTCTGGGACAGGCTTTATATAACCAGATTTTGTGTTTCAAACCTAAGACAAATGAAACCATAAGGTCTTTTTTTGTCTGTGTTTTTTTTTGTTTGCTTGTTTGTTTTTTGCCAACCAGTGAATCACATACTCTATAAACGATGAAAAAGCTGAATCATAGGCAAAAAGGCCACCTCTCCAAAACCTCCTTCCAACAAGTGAGAGGAAGTGATGTGAGCCCTTAAGCATGTAGAAACAAATCAAGCATCAGGCTGGGTAGTGGCAGCTCATGCTGGAAGCTGCCATGATATCCACAGTGTTGTCATTGGCCTCCTCTATTCAACATTAATCTCTTCTCCCTAATCCTCCTACCTCTATTTTCCTGTTTGGATAAAAAACTTCTCCATTACAGCTCCTGTTTTCTACCCCTGTGGCCTAGTAGATCTCCTCGTACCACAAGACCTTCATTCCAAGTTCTTCCAACACAGAGACAACAAGCACATTATTGCACCATCCATGCACTTGTGTTTATATTTACAGCTTATTTGGCCTGAAGCCATCTTTAGCACATCGAGGACCATCCCTTTTCATTCGAGTCTTCCTAATGCATATTCTTATTAATTCACTTATTAAGTCCAAATAATGATGACTTGTTTTATTTGTTAAAAGCTAAAAATCCAGCTTTGTCTAAGCAGAGTGGCTCCAGTTATATCACTGACGTCATTTAATCATACTTGCTAAAAGATGGAAAATCTGACCAAAAGGCTGTGCCTTTCCTAGGAACAGCAATAATGTGGTTGTCTCACTGAAGAGGGAGGACCATGAAGGCCTGGTAACATACCAGAATCAGCTTACATCTTTTGTACAGACACAGAAGTATTTATTTGATGATGACCTTAAAGAAATCACAATAGGTCCCTTCCAACTCAAAATATTCTATGATTCTATGACAGAGCTCACTGTGAAGTGCTGGCACAATGACTTCCAGGGAAGCTATTCAGAGCTGTGTCATTCTGCCTGGAGACAACTGGAGTTTTATCAAAATAAGAGCATGTTTGCCCCCTTCCCAGACACATGATGCATTAATACAGCTTCACTGATCCTGTTCGTAAGTACCATATTTTTCTTAAGCTATGAAAAGACAAATTGTCTCCTGCTAAAGAACTTTCATTGAGTACAAAGTAGTAAAAAGCAAACTGTTTGGTGAATTCAGTCTGACAACGTATTATTAGTTACATTCCAGAGGTTTTATAAGGCTTTGACCTTTGTGATGAAGCCTTGCTCTTCATGAGCAGTCCTTGTTTGACCCATGTGAATAAGCCCATTGACCAGTCAGGACACATTATGCCCAAAGACCTCACGCCATCTCTGATCATTCAGAAGTATCACCAAAAGCTTTATCTTTAATGTTTCCTGCAGTCTTTGGATGATTTGTTATGAATAAAAATATAAAGCACAATTCATATTAGCAGACCTTCAAAACAAAAATCCAATATCTTTCCTAAAATAAACGGATGCATTTCACAATTTCTCCAGTTCTTGTAACTGTGGAAGAAACAAAGATGAACTAATTGAATTACCAATGACCATGCATTTCTGTAAGGGGATTTGACACTCATACATGAAGACAGAAGAAAAAGAACTTAATACCATTTTCTCTTACCATTTAGAAAATGCACATCACAGTATATGCAATTCCTCTGATTTTTAAATAAGGACTGGATCACATTTGATGGTCACTTTAATGTCTTTACTATATTTTTTTTTGAATAATAGTTAGCATCTGACCTTGCTTGAGTAATAAGTTTGTGTTTGTGTTCAAAGCAGAAACTGAATATTGAAGCTCTTGTTAATGAACAGTTATTGAAGATCCAGAGAAATTACCTGATTCTTTTCTACCAGGCCATCTTTACCATTCAACCTGTGTCTTTGGAGATTTCTGTCTTCTTCCTCTACCATCTTCATTGCTCTCACCTTTTAAAACTATGCTCCTTGTGCTCCTACTGCCTCCAATAATTTTCCACTTTTTCAGGAGCGTAAAACCTATGTGGGGAAGAAAAACGCAAACAAAAACAAAACATAAAAGTCAAACCCCAATCAAAACCTTAAGTAAAAACTCAGATCTGCCCTTGACTTTCTTCTTTCTGGCTGCAGTTAGTGTTTAGGTCTAAAGCTAGGCCTGTGTCCATTAGTATAATTTGTTTGGGTAAGAAGCAAATACCATGCACAGATAGAACAAAATCAGCATCTGGTTGTTTTGGCCATGAGTGTCTGCTTAGATCACAGTGTGGGGTCAGAACTGCTCCAATTCCAAAGCTGAGAGCAAGGGATGACTCTGTGCTGTCACATGTGATGCCACCTGGAGTAACTGCATGCAGCTGTAAAACCCACATGCAACTCAAATCAGGATAAGAAGCAAAACCTACAGCCTGCTTTGTGAATATATCAATAATTAAAAATCAGCTACAAAGCTGAATTGAACTTAATTGTCCTCATCTCCATGTTAGCCAGAAAAATACGCAGCCTGGAAAGCAAGTGTCTTGCATACTTTTCATTTCACTCATAGGGCTTATTCGTGCCAGTAGATATTGAAACCCCACCTCTTGGTTTGGAAAAGTAATTTCCATTCCATGAGTTTTGCTTGAAGCTAATGCATGCTATTAGAAAACATCTGAAGTAAAACTTTAACCATTTCACTCAGCCCAGCTGTGAAGTTCAAACTGCTTTTTAAAGTTAATTATCTTGCTCTGACCTGCACATATGCACGTTAAATACAAATAAATCAATATGGCATGCTTATTCATGTCTCAATTTGCTTTTTGTTTTTAAAATTAGCATACTCTTGATTTGCCTAACAGATATACAAGTATGATGGTATCTCACAGATTAAAGTTTTGTGTTTGTCTCTTTGTAGTTCTTTCACTATTTTATAAAATTCAAAGTCCTTGAGGGAGTGTCGGAAATCCCCATAATTTTCTTCAATGTTCTATTTTACCTTTTTATCTCTGATATAGCTAGCACATTTGAAAAAGAAATGCAGATAGCCAGATGACTCCCTGGTATTCATATATACCAAAGTACAGACAAATGCAAGTGACTTGAACTAATGCTGACACTGATTCATGCCTGAGTGTTTTGTTGTCTTTTCCTAAGGATGCCTTATTAGGAACATGTGTTTGTGATCTTAACTACAAAATTTTTCTTCTGAACTTTGAGAAGAAAAAGTAGAACTGTCAAACTTTTTTCTTTTTAAAGGTTAAAACAAATATTTGAGAAGGATGGTTACAATCACCATGGTTTCCACTGCTGGTTATTTTGTAGTACCACTGTCCTTTGACTGGCATTGTCACCTACTACAATTCTTCTAAAAAATTCTACTGAAAGAGAGGTTATTTCATATCTTTGCTTTGTGGTTTTCTGAGCACTCTCCTCTGAATCAGCCAGCACAGACCACAGCAAGAGAGAATATAGAGTTAGCTGATTCACTCCTGCTGCTTGGTGTGGTGATCTCTAATTGCACTTAGTTGTGGGGATTTTCCAAAGCAGACAAGTGACTTCTCCTCTTGCCAGGTTGCTGCTGTCAGATTTTGAGGCATTTGGACATTACCACATCTCAAGAGTGCACAGCATCATGTTCACACCACCCAGCCATTAAATGAACAAGCTCACTGGTGGTTTAGGTTAACAGCTCTCAGTGGCAGCAAATACCCATGCATTTTGTCATGGTTTCCCTGTATTAAACAGAACTAGAACAAAAACAACAGAGATCTGGAGAGTTTAGTTCACTTGGTGGCATCATCTGGTCTGTCCTCAAAGTGTGATACGAAGTGAGTAAAGCTTTGCAAAATTCTGAACTCCATTCTTTTTGAGAATCAGCTGTAAATCTGATGCTTCACTTGAGCGGAAGAAACATCCCATACATTCAGGTTCTGAGATTATGATGTCTCATAATGCAGTAGTCTCTTGTTGAGGAAAACACTGATGTTTGCCTGGCACAGAAACCTGGGGAAGAAACTTTCTGAATAGTGTGACTCCAATACATGTAGGTGAGCTTTCACAAAGTGGTTTGTATACTGACTACAAAGACATCCAAGTCATGGACTAAACTTGCTCAGTAAGGGCAGCGTACTGTGGTTACAAAGCACTAGTATTATTAGCTGTTTTAGTTAGTATGGCTAGACTGTAACAGCTGGAAACAAAGCTGTAACTTAAATGTGGGCACTGATTCACTTTGAGTCCTTGTTTACTTGTTAACATATTTCTGCCTGTAGGACAAGCCTCAATAATGGGACAAGGCTCCATAAGTATTCAGAAGTAGTGCTGCAATAGCATTCAGCAGTGCAACCCTCATCTAGATTACTGAACACTTTCCCTTGCAAAAGTGGAAATCTTGATTCAGAAGCATTCATTCCAAATGTCAAACCAAAACAGAATATACTCAAAAAAGAAAGAGAAAAAAAAAAAACCCAAAATATTAAGGAAAACCTTTCCACAGGCCTTGGCTATAAAATAGCCCAGAATCCAAATACAACTGTTTGGAACATACTAGTGGCTTTTGGAGAGATGCTGCAATTTCCATTTTCAAAACATCTTGGTTAAATGTTCAAGTGTCTGCTCCCTGACTGTAAAAACCCCACGGAAATAAATAAATAAATACATAACCGAACAACAACAAAACCAGAAAGTCTGCAAGAGGTAACATTCAGGACCTCAGGCAAAACCGAGCCGCTCCCTGCCTCCCGAACTGGGGAAAAGATTCAGAAAGCCAATGGAAAACTCCTGGTACAATCAGCGGGCTGAGCTACGAATCTAACTACTGCTAGAATGTTTTTTTCGCTTGTTTGTTTGTTTGTTTGTTTTTTCTTAGTTCCAAATAGGGGAAATAATTCAGAAAAAAAAAAAAAAAAAAAAAAAAAAAACCCAAAAAAAACAGAGAGAGAGAAAGACACCTCCCTGTCCGGCGCTGGATATGACCTGGTTTCTTCCTCCCCACAACCCTGCTTCGTTCCCTCTCTTCACAGTGACATCTACCGGCCTGCCCCGAAGGCTGCCCCGCACCGTCCCGCTCGCAGCCCGGGGCCGCTCTCCTCCGGCACGGAGCCCGCAGCGCTGCCGTCGGGGCACAGCGGCAGCTCCTGTTCGGCCCGCAGCACCGAGGGGAGGAAACTTTCTCAGCGAGTTTCTTCCCAGCGAGCTCCACGGCTGCGCGACATACGCGGGTGCGAGCCGGCGGAGAAACTGGAGAGCAACCTGCTGCCGCCTTTCTCCTGGGACGAGCCGGGTGCTGCTCCCTCAAAAGGCTTTTATTGCGTCGGGAACCCCCCCGAGCGATCAGGCTGCGCGCCTACTCTGTGCTGCCGAGCGGAGCTTGGGGCGGGCCGGCGGCTCCGCGTTCCGCGGGGTGTGGCCTCGGCATTATTTATGAGCTCCAGCCCCTATTTGCTCAGCTAATGATGCACCGCCGTGCCTTGCCTCTCAGCGCGGCGGCGAGGGCCGGGCAGCGCTGTAACTGGAAACCGGAGCCTTCACCGTCGCCGCGCGGCCACTTTCCATTCACTTCTAGGTGCTTCATTGAGGGCTGGGGAGAAGCGCTCCCGGTGCCTTAGGATTATTTTACAAAGGAATTGGGAGTACCTTTGCTACCACGAGGAAGAGAGACTTTTCTTTATGGTTTGTTTTTATTTTATTTTATTCTATTTCTCCTCCTCACCATGAGCTAGGTTTGGAATTAAAACGTTCTGGTAACAGGAGTGGAGCTCATAAACTGATAGAAACCAGATAGAAATCTGTATTACTGGTTCCTTCAATAGCTGGTAAGCATGATTGGAAGTTCTCTTTCTCTGCTGTAATAAATGTGAAATGTGTTTGATATTTGAGTTTCCCTGCCGTTCGCAGATACTTTAAGTAATATTTTCTGGATTAGCATAGTCTGGATTTGAGGTTTTCCTTTTTTTTCCTTTCTTTCTTTTCTTCTGGTGAGTGGTTTTCCTTGTGGGATGTCAGGTTAAGAGTGAGGCTGCAGCAGATGACACCTGCACAGCACTTATGGCAGGGCTGCATAATACTTTCCAAAGCAAAACTGTATGCTGGAAGCAACCTCTGTGACAGGAAAGCTTCAGCACTTCAGTAGCAGTTTGCTGGTTTGTTTACAGCTTGAGTAAGGTCTAAGAGCAGACATGGACAGAAATGGAGTTGCTTTTTGCTTTTTGTTTGTCCAAAAAGATTATTTAAGAGGTCTTGAAAAGATTTGAGGTCTGTGTGTTGTCAGCGCAGGTCATGTGCATGGGATGTGCTGAATATAGTATCATGACTTACTGAGATAAATTCAGAGCTGGGATATAAGCCCAAATAGGCTTCAAACCTGCTATGAGTTTGTGCTCAGTTACTAGATGTGTAAATCTCTGAAATGTACCTTACTGCCATTAGGTTACTGACATGTCAGACACCCTGAGATACCTCTGTGGCACTGTATGCATTTATTATTTATGTGTCTAACAGCTGGGTAGGAACCATGCTGCTTACAGCCTCGATCTTACATTTGCCTGTCACTTCTGTGTGAACAGTGAAGATGTGTGATTTGAGCAATGAAATGTAGTAATGTTTCAGTCCTGTAGCTGATTGCGCTGGAGTTGGCAGGAGGTATGAGAGTGGGAAGGAAAGAGTGCTGAAAGGTTTATTTTTTATTAGTATTATTTCTTACAGTATCATTTAAGAGAAGACAGAAAGTCATATGCTTGTTCCTCTGACTTTTCATCTCTATTGCAAAGAAAGCAAAGTGCTACTACTGTAAAATACTAATCCCACTGCATCTCTTAAATCACATGTTCAGTGTGATTGGCTATTTGTTTTGGCCTGACAAAGCAATCTTATCAGGATTTAATGGCCTCTCTCTATTAGAAGAGGGCTAACTTAAAGGATATCCCATGAGCTGGTTGCAAGATTTTGAATTTAAAGCCCACAAAGCAGCATTAATGTTGGAGTTCATGCAGCTTGTTTAAGAATTATTCTTGGCAAAAGTCTTCAGCTATCATTTTATTAGTTAACAGACCTTTAGAAATAATTTGGAAGTGGGCCATGATGAATATGTTTCTTCTGTAGACCAGATCTGTATCTGGAAAATTTCTGACACCAGTGTTTGTGTCAATTAGCAGAGTGGTAGCATTACTTGGTCTGAATGCATGTCTCAGTACTCTAGAGCTAACTGGGCAGGGCAGGGTACAGTATGGGCTACAGAGTTGTTCCCTCCTGTATGCTCTCTTCATTCCACACCAACTTACTGTGAAAGTCTAATGCAGAGAGAAGCCTTTAAAAATGAATTACAGTGCATGGATAGGGAATGACAGAGCTGGTAATTGAGATGGAGCTTTTACCTCTTGGTGATGTGGATTCAGCCTGAACTGGTGCTGACCTAAAGTCGTTCCTGTCTGACAGATGGTTCCTGCAAAGATGGGATGGTTACAGCCAGTTCTTTTAGAAAAGGTTTGAATCACAGAAGAGACTCAGTGAACAAAGATGTAGAAATATTGTCTTCCACTGGAGGGACTGCAGTGCTAGAGCTGAGGTAAAGAAGTGTAAAGTGGTTGCACAGGCAGCAACACTCTTCATTAAAGAAATATGTAGATTTCAAAGGTATCTTCTGGCCTTTGGAGTTGTGCTTTTCAAGGTGGTGCCATTTGCTATAGAACTAAATATAACACTTGATCAGCCAGTAGATAGTGTCCAGTAGAAAGGCTGTTAATGCAAATAATAATAATAATAATAATAATAAATAAAAAAATAAAAAATTATATGTAATATATATATATTTATAATATAATATACATAATATAATATTATATATACATATAAAGACCAGGCTGAGCTGAAGAAAATCATGGACACCATGATCAAAGTTCTCAGAAGTAAAACAAAATCTGAACATCACAATTTTTGGAGAGATGCAGTTTAGGAACATCATAGATACATAGTATTCAGTTACTAATATTTGGGTTTTATGGGTTTAGTCCAAAGTCAACTGGAATTGGTAGGAAAGTGACACTGATTCCAGTGAGCTATGCCCATTGCGAGTCTTCCTGACCTGTGAAATGGTTGCAGATTTGTTTTGGAATGTTTTCTTTTCTCTGAAGAGCTCAGTATTCTCAACAGCTTCCCCCTATAAAATGAATGTAGATTCAGCAGATGTATAGGAGGAGTAGCCCAAGTATCAAGTGTTTACACACTGTCCAACTCAGGGCAATTTTAGTGCTCTGTAAAGGTCTAAGAGAGAAACTAAGTGTCCCAAAAGGAGCTAGACCAAAAAGCAAATGTTGATTAATAGTTTAAAGCATGTTGAAATACTTTTGGTTTCAGTGCTTTTGAGATTAGTGACGTACACATTCAGGATTTCATCTTAGAAGAGGATATAGAGGGCTATTAGAGCACTCAACTCAAACTCAAAACTCATTTCCAAATGCCTTTGATTTCAAATGTTAAAAAAAAAAAAAAAAAAAAAAAAAAAAAAAAAAAAAAAAAATCAAATATGATGTTAACTAAGGCAAGAGGTCTAAAAATATCAGCCAGCTTTTTATTCATGAAACTTTATCTCCTGTCCTTGCTTTGCTCTGCCTTGACATTTAGTATAATTATTTTTCCAGCAGGTGGAATTGTCTTTATTTAAATAATCTGAATCTAATGCTGTAGTCTTCTGTAGCCAAAACTAGGGCTCTGCAGGTTCGTTCTAACAGCAGAGAGCTCTTATTGTGCCAGCACAGAGCACAGCTGGAGAATACCATTTTCAGATCTATAAAGAAAAAACAGAAGTGCTCTACCTCCTTCATGTTATCGTATATTATGGCATCAGATGGGAGAGCATTTTAGCACAGATTGTTCTTTAGTGCTGACTGTGCTCCACAAAACTATGTAAAAACATGTAATGCCAGTTTTCTTTCTTTCAGGTTTCATTTCTTGGATATTAAGTTGCAAATCTGAAGAGATGGCATTTCTTGTACTGCGCGTGGTGATTGGGATATTTATTTACTTTAGCAGTGTAAAAGGATCTTCCCAGCCTCAAGCAAGGGTGTTTTTAACATTCAATGGTAAGAAAAAAGAAAAATATTCTTATGTTGTGATCATCATTTTCATCTTCACCTTCAATTAAATAACTAAGTAGTAATTGTGTATTTAGTCTGTGCCCACAATTAGCTATTTTTGGTTTGTGTTGTTGAGGTACTTGTCAATCTAAATTTGATTCTCTCCTGAAGTTCAGTGCTCCTTATGCATATATCCCTTTTCTTTATTTGAAATAATAATCCCTTTCCTTTATTAGAAGTTATTATGTCTTACGAACAACTAAAGATTTCTTATCTTTTTTTCTTTTCTTTTCTTTCTTTTTTTTTTTTTTTTAATAGAAAATGTATGTGAGCTACATCACATGTAATAGAAATCATTAAAAAGTTTAGTTACTTTCACTTGGTACCCAGCTGAACATGTAACTCTAAAAATGATGCTGCTTGAAGGTCGACCAAGATAGCATCACAATTCTTGGAGAGATGCATCATAGAGAGAGCATCATAGATACATAGTTTTCAGTTACTAATATTTTGGTTTTATGGGTTTAGTCCAAAGTCAACTGGAATTGGTAAGAAAGTGACAGTCTTTGGCAACACAGAG